ATATGGACTGAAACAAGCGCCCAGAGCTTGGAATCAGAAGATTGATTCATTTTTCAAGAAGCAAGGCTTTCAGAAATGTGAGATGGAGTACGGTGTCTATGTTCAACATACTTCTGAAGGAAATATGACTCTGGTATGTTTATATGTTGACGATATACTATTGATTGGAAGTTCTGAACAAGAGATAGCCAAGTTCAAGAAAGTTCTGATGAATGAATTTGAAATGACTGATCTAGGCAAAATGACATACTTTCTAGGGATGGAGTTCAGATATTCTGAGAAATGTATCATTTTGCATCAGCTCAAGTATGAACTAGAACTTCTGAAGATATTTGAACTGAAGAATTGTAAGATTGCTGTCACACCCTCTGATACAAATCAGAAACTGGATTCTGACTCTGATGGAAAGGATGTGGACGTACAACCTTCAAACAGTTGGTTGGTTCTCTGAGGTATCTGTGCAATACCAGACCTGATATTTGCTATTTTGTTGGGATGGTTAGTAGGTTCATGAGTAAACCTAAGTGGTCCCATTACCAAGCTGCTGTCAGAATTCTGAGGTATATCAAGGGAACTCTGAAGTATGGAGTGTTGTTTCCTTCTGGAAGAAAGGATGAGTCAGAACTTCTGAGTTATTCAGATTCTGATTGGTGTGGAGACAGAGTTGACAGAAGAAGTACATCTGGGTACTTGTTCAAATTTCTGGGAGGTCTCATTTCTTGGTGTTCCAAGAAGCAACCTGTTGTGGCGTTATCAACCTGTGAAGCTGAATACATTGTAGGTGTTGTTACTGTATGCCAAGCTGTGTGGATTCTGAATCTGTTGCAGGATCTGAAGATTAAAATAAACAAACCTCTGAAGTTGATGATTGACAACAAGTCTGCAATCAATCTTGCCAGAAACCCAGTGTTGCATGGGAGAAGCAAGCATATTGAGACAAAGTATCATTTTCTGAGACATCAAGTTCAGAGTGGAGTGTTAGAAGTTGTACACTGCAGCACTCAGAAACAGTTGGCAGATGTTCTGACGAAAGCCATTAAGACTGATCAATTTCTCAGACTAAGGGATGAAATTGGTGTTACAAGTTTTGATGGAATATGAATTAAGGGATAGTATTAGAAGTAATTCATATTTATTAGTTGTACTATTTTCTTAGCCCCTAAGTTTGTTAGAGGGTATTTTAGTATTTTTATCTTATTCTAGTAACCCTAGCATTAGCTTATAAATAGGGTATCAATCATTGCAATTTTGTTGTAGTGTGTGTAGCCGTCATTCTCTTAATAGAATATTTCTCTATTCATCATTTATTCTACCTTTGCACCAACAGTTCCTTCTGTGGATCTTATCCTAAAAATGCAAAACATCTTTTCCTGCATTGTGAGTTCTCTAGGCTGGCCTGCTTCTCTTCTCCTCTAGGCTTTTGAATCCTTCCTAATGTTGAAATTCTTGACTGGTTGTTGCATTGTATGACTAGTATGAATACTTTGATGTCCCAACTCATATGTACTATGCTTTGGAAAGTGTGGGAGGCAAGGAACATATGGTTGTACTAGCAGAAGCTTAAGGAGCCTGAGGACATAGCTTTGGAAGCGTGGAACTGTGTTTTGGAATTCAATAAGGAAAACTCGTTGTCTAAGCTTAGGATTCAATATGCTCTAAGCTTAGGATTCATAGTGTGATTCAAGTTGATGTTGGATGTTTTGCTGCTGGTTTTCGACTTTTAGTTGTATTTTTAAGACTTGGGATTCAAAGGTGATTTATGTTGCGTGTAGAAAGGAACATATTTCAGTCGATCCCACTATGGCTGAAACCCTTGCTATCAGATGGAGTTTGCAGGTGGCTAAGGAGCTTAACTTGGATAGTATCCTGGTGCATTCTGATGCTTTGTCTATGATTGATTGTATCAACTTCATTAGTTCGTTGGTTGATATTGATGTTATTGCTAGTGATGTTTGATCCTTGTTTGGTAGTTGTAAGGTTGGCTATGTTATGTATTTAAATAGACAATTTAATTTTGAGCCTATAACCTTGTTAGTTTGGGTAAACTTTTTGGGTCTTTGTCCTCACCCTCTCAGGGTTCTTGCAGTTAATGAATTTGTTTCCTTTCAAAATAAGGTTGTAGATTTGGCTATATGATATACTTGAGCAGCAGACAATCATCTCATTTACCTAAATCTTATCTTTTTTTCTCAATTCAAGTACACAACCCACATTTCGAGTTTTCTCAAATCAAGTACACCAGCATTTTGGGCAGGTCGCCTATATGATACTCAAGTAAAGACAAAACTTTTGATCTAAATGTGAAATATGTATATACAATAGAGTTTTTTTAATCATTTCCCATTTAGTATCAGACTTCAAACTTTAAGATTGGTGCATTTTACTAATATTAGACTCGATATATGTAATGCATGTTATTTCTCCTATAACTATTGCACTACATTGAGAAGTTGTATTATATATTCCATGCTATCATTTAGGAACTCAATTTTAGAGTCTCTTGTTTCTGTTATTTTGATTGAATTGGTGATCCTACTCTTTTTAGCATGGTCCCATTGTCAAGCCATAGCTTATGATACAATTAAAAGTTGTTTATTTATCATGTATTACACCACACTTAAGATCACACATGGAAGTAAAAAATTAGTGAAGATAACTTGTTATGTAAGACATCAAGTTAGCTAGAAGATTAGTTACATGTTATTTAGTTAGAGGTAGTTAGAAAAAATAATTGTATAAGGATAATACACCACAATAATGCTAGACTAGAAAGTTGTATATGTAAACTCCATGTATGGTTCTATTTCCATATTATGGAAAATCTCTTCTTCAATCCATTGAATGTGATAAAACCATACATAGAGTTTATATATAAAACTCTCTTGTGATCTTAAGTGTTGTGTTATATCCCTCCACAAGTTGCAGGAAAATATATACATGACCATCTTACCAAAAATCATACCAGTCAAACTCAATCAAGTGTATAAACTCATCAAATTCTTGTATGGTCTTAAGCAAGCAAGTAGAAAATAGTATGAAAAACTCACTTATCTTCTTCTTGCTCAACAATTCCATCAAGCTAACTTTGACCATTTACTTTTCATCAAGAAAACATCTAGCACATTTCCTTTCCTCTTAGTGTATATGGATGACATCGTCATTGCTAGAAACTCATTATCTAAATTTGACCACATCAAACATGTCCTACACCAAACCTTCCAAATCAAAAATTTTGCACAACTCACGTGTTTTCTTGGCCTTGATGTAGCATACTCTAAATAAGGCATCGCATTGTGCCAAACGAAATATTACCCCAACTTGATTATTCATGCATGCTTACTTGCCTCTAAACCTGTTACCGCACCTGCAAGTTTTACCAACAAACTCATGAATGACACTAGTCCTGCATATCCTGACATCTCTGCCTACAGGCGCCTTGTTGGCCGACTCTTATATCTCACAACTATTAGGCTTGACATCACCTTCATCACACCCTCAGATATCTCAAAGGGTGTCTTGCTCATGGCATATTCTTCTCAAGAGATTCACATCAACAACTGATAGATTTTTCAGATGCCAATTGGGATGGTTGTGCAGAGACACAAAGATCCATCTCAGGACAATGTTTTTTCATTGGTAAATCTCTCTTTTCATATCGCACCAAGAAACAATTGGCAATCTCACACACTTCATATAAAGTTGAATACCACACAAAGATCCATCTCAGGACAATGTTTTTTCATTGGTAAATCTTTCTTTTCATATCGCACCAAGAAACAATTGGCAATCTCACACACTTCATATAAAGTTGAATACCATGCTCTTGCAACGACCACTTGTGAAATGTGATGACAGATTTTTCATGAGATGACTTATTTATCTTTTTCATGATTTTCAAATTAACTGCAGCAAGCCTCCTGTTCTTTATTATGACAAGTTAAGTACACTTAGACATTGTAGCCAACCTTGTATTCTATGATCGAACTAAACATTTAGAAATACATTGTCACATAGCTCGTGAAAAGGTGCAAGAAAATGTTTTCAAGCTCCTTCTCGTGTCTAGCAAGGATCAATTGACAAACTTCTTCACCAAGTCACTCATACTTCAACCATTTCATCTTCTTCTATCCAAGTTAGACATGATTGGGTGGGAATATTACACGACACTTAAGATCACACATGTAAGTAACAAGTTAATGAAGATAACTTGTTAGTTAGAAAGTTAGTAACAAGTTATGATAGTTAGAGATAGTTAGAAGAAATGATTTTATAAGGATAGTACGCCATAACAATGCTAGACTAGAGAGATGTATATATAAACTCCATGTTTGGTTCTATCACATTCAATGGAGAAGAGATCTTTCATAATATCCCGCAATATCACATAGTCAAAAGATCGATGATTAAACTAGAGACTCATTGATTGAACAACATTATTGACTAAGTAATTTAAATTTTTGTGAGGATCTCTCTAATCAATGGTGCCGTTGGTGTTCAATATGGAATTTCAATCACCCATCATTCTATTTCCAAATTTTCCACTAAAGATCCTAGAAGGTGAAGGTCTCTCCCAAACAGGGAAAAAGAATGGCACATTCTTTCAAGTACAAAGAGAAATAATCCAAACCATGATGGTGTTAACGATGATAAATAAATGAATGATAAAATTTGACAAACAATTTCAGAGCAAATGATGCTGCTATGGAAACAAATTCAAGACAAACTAAACCATAAATAAATTAACCTTCAACAAAGTATAAATAAACTATCAACAAACAGTTGAAGCCTAAGATATGACATGAAAGACCATAAATAAAGACAATAGTAGCTGAAGAAGCCCTTGTTAGCTGTTTTACCTACCTTGGACCTTCATCACACTGCATTCTTTTGATTATATTTACAAAATAGACAAGGAAACTTAAACACTAAATGCTATGCATGATCATTAATTAAACGATATTGAAACGGTTTAAAGAATTGGTGATTAGAGGTGAATATAGTTAGCCGAGATCAATGTCAACCCGTTCCGGATTTACCCTTTCTGTCTGGTTCGCAACAAGTTCAATTCCTAGCTGTCCTTTGTCTCCAGCACCAAATCCATAAAGCTTTCCTGATTCTGTTAGAGCAAAGGTATGAGCATTCCAGTATATGGAATTTGTCAGACTAATCTGTACCACCCTTTCATTGATCTGCTTCAGTGATGTCACAAGCTCGGGAGTTAACACATTCGCATGCCTGTTTCCCTGTAATCATAACATTAACAACAAAAACATCATCGATATATTTTGAACAATGCGCCGTTCAAACATATTAGTGGAAAAAATGAATAAATAAAGCTGACCTGTACATCATTTACTGCATTATGACCGAGACTCGCAGATTCTCCGCAACCGAATGAATAAACGTCACCATCTTCAGAGACCACAAAGGTTGTGTAATCTCCTGTTGCAACATGAACAGCTTTGACATTGGACAATGCTTCTACTACCTTAGGTGCTGCTTCACATTCTTCATTCCCGTGTCCCAAACAACCGTATCGGCCCCATCCCCATGTGCAGACTCGGCCGTCCTGTCCCACCACTGCAGCGTGCCATGCACCAGCTGCAACTACCTTGGGTTGAATGTTTAGTGTCTGGAACTGTTCGATCAAACGAGGGAACTTCTCATCAGTTCTTGTTCCATGTCCTAGCTTGCCTCCCAAGCCACACCCAACTGAGTATACTGACCTGTATGTTTTCAAAGAATCACGACATGCGACATGCAAAACGTTCAAATAAGTAAATACATCAAGAATGAATTTGCATGTATAAACTAGTATGCGATATGTGATTGGAACTCACATTCCACTAGGTTGACAAGCCAAACAAAGAAGGTAGCAATATCCAGCTGCAATTTGCACTACTGGTATGTCTTCCAATGCTCCTAACAAAGGATGAGGTTCCATATCATTGGGATCAGTGTGGTGGCCGAGTTTTCCATCATTACCCCAAGAGAATGTATAAACCCTGCCTTCTCTTGACAATACAGCTGTGAAAAAGTTTCCAATTGCCGCTTGGACAACAAATATGTTTTTCAAAGACTCCACTAACTGTGGAGTTGTGACAGTTTTAGATCCTTGACCTCCATATTCAGCTTCTCCAAAAGAATCTTTCCCAAATGCATAGACTTTTCCGGAATCAGTGATCAACATTGTCCTCCCAGCACCGGCAGCAGCTTGTATAATTCGAATGCCTTGCAAAGTTCTGAAACATAATGAACTTCCATTAACTTTTAATCAACTAGTACTAGTTCACTTTAAGTTACCCTTAAGTCTACATGTTTACAACCTTATTGGCCGCGGTCGCCATTCTTCATCGGTGGTGCCGTGCCCGAGTTGTCCTGAACTGTTGGACCCAAATGAATAAACATCCCCTTTAGATGTCACAGCAATGCTGTGACCAGGACCTGCTATTGCCTGTGATTTCTCCCTCCTGCAACATGCTTCTCCAGCCAATAAATACCTCAGAACCAACTTCCAAGAGCCTCCACATCTTTGCTTCAAATCTTGCTTTTCTTCTGTTGTCATTGGCTTAAAGATGGCTCTCTTCCGGCACATGTCAAATGCAGCAAGCTCCGATAATGACAGTGTTAAATCCGGAGCAAAGTTTGCTGGCTGCCTGAAGAAGGAGCATGTTGCCTGCAACACACATAAAAAACAAAGCCAGAAGCATTATTCGCATACAAATCAAGAACAACAACTTCATAGATGAAATGCAGATAACTATAGCACTTGCCTCTAGTTTAGCAAGGTCTTGAGGATCCAAATTACATGCGGTAAGGACATGGAGAACAATAGAGGGATTAGCAGACAAAGGAAACTCTCCGGGAGTAGAGTTTCCAAAGCAATGTCGCTGTTGCCTTTGAAAAGTCGGAAGTGGTGTGGCAACAACAATGGCAGTAATTGTCTGGTCAGTGATGTTATGGTATTGAATAGTCGGGGTTCCGCTGGTTGTGGCATCCATTGGGCACTGCAAAAAACTTTACGCAGTGCCCCAAACTTCGCAGAAGAAAATATCTAAGTTACCAAAATATGCGCAAATTTATCATTACCACATTCAATTAATCGATTTCTATGTTTCGTTAATTATAGCATATGCTAGACTTTTCAATTTCATATCATTTTACTATTTTACTACTAACTTGCAAAAAGTATGTACCTCAAAAATATAATTGACTAGCAAATCTCAGGTCTCAAACCTACAAAGAAAAACATACTTAATATAAACTCATTATTATGCGACACAAAAATGGAAGGAAAAAAATGAACTATAGTCTATATGATCAAATGTCTAGGTTGAAGTTGATTATAACATTATTAATCATGAACTATAACCACAAAAAAGACATGCATTAAAATTTTCGACACACGAAATCATGAACAAAATCACTTCATAAATACCAAATTAAGAAACAAAATCAACACGGATCCTTTCATAAAACGTTTTGTTTCGATATCTGATGATGACCCAGATGAATAAAAATCATGAAAAAAGTAAAGGGTATTTGAAGGTTAATCAAAAGACGAAAACTTTGAGGAGAAGTATAGTATTCATTCATTCTCCTAAGATGAGGGATATTCCTAAAAAAAGAAAGGAATTTCTTCAATTTTTGTGATCGAAGTTAAAAACTTCAATCACGTGAAGTCATCGTGATTCATCAAAGTGAGATCATCACAATCACAATCAAAATCAAAAATCAAACCATAAAAACCGTTCTCCATGGATGAACACCAAGAAACAGGGGATTGTAATCGGAACCAAAACAAGGGTAGGTTGAAATTGAAAACAGTAAATTTTGTGACTTTTTCCGGTCATTGAATTATTAGGGTAATCCAATTCAACAAGAACACTTGCGTAATACGCAACAAAAAAAGCAAAAAAACAAAAAACAAAAAAAAACACAAACAGAGAATTCATGGAAAACAGAACAGAATCTGAGAAAGTTTCCGATGAATGGCATTACGATCGGCACAGATCGAATTATAGAAAACGATGGAAAGAGTGATTACATATAAGAAATAAGAAGGAATTGTGAAACTCAATCTGCATCGGTGGAAGAGAAGAGAATCGGATGAGATTTTGTGAAGTTTTTTGGGTCAAAGAAACATCGATAGATATGGGTTTTTGATCGATTAACGTTGGACTGTGTTGTGTTATGTGGTGTGGTGCTTGGAATATGATGAGGAGGAGGTTGAGAGATTGAAGGAGAGAAAATATGAGTTTTTTTTTGAGAGTGAATGAATGAGATAGAATAGAATGAATAATTTTAGCTTTTATCCTCTTTTATTTTCTTTCCATTTTTTTATTATTAATATTTATTTTATGGTTTATTATGAGGTGTTGTTGATGGTGATTTGTCACTTTGCCAACTAAGTTGAAATTACTCTCCTTTATTACTATTTGCTTACAACTTACAAGTGTTAAGGAACAAATATTTTGTTTAATAAAATTATAATTAATAATTCTATTTTTTATTCTAATTTAAAATCAATTAGAATATGCTAAGTATATGGTTCAAAGGTAAGGTAGTGTTGCACAATTATAATTTTTTATTTATAATTTGACTAATAATCTTTTTCATAAATCAATAGATCATAGGTAATTTATAAAGTTGTATCACACTAATAGAGAGTAAGATGATTAGTTAGTATATACATTCTTTTTTAGTCGGGTGTAGTTATTTCGTTTGTGAAGATTAAGATGATTTCGTTTGCAAATAGTCTACATGCTCAAAGAAAAATGGTGAACTTTTAGTGAAATTATCATTCTAACTATAGTAATTTATCTTTGGTGAAACTTTTGTCTTAGTTATCAAAGTTGTTTGTGAAAGTCATGGTGTTGTTTACCGTGAAAAATGGTGAACAGTTGTTGGTCTTTTAAATCGAAAAAGATTTGTTTTACTCGCAGGATCGACCACACAAATCCTAGAACATGTATTAGTTGATCTTAAACAAAGTAAAAAATATAGAAAGTAACTTGTGCAAGGAAAAGATAAATTCTTAATGAAAAGACTTATTGAATTGCATTGAAATGTAAAAATGGTGTTGCATCAACGTACATTCTCACAAACTCGTTTCTTTACACGCGGGTACTTTGAGTATATTGAAAATTTTGTACACAATTGAACACACATTAATCCTAACACTAAGACTTGTTATTTATACTAATCGAAAATAATTGTCATCAACGGCTAACGAACTAGATCAAGACAAGTGGTGTTTTGCATGTCTTCGACTCTTGGAAGCGCTTCACGTGTCTTCTTTGAGAAATGGATAAGAACGAACATTCCCTCCTTTATTTGAATTCAAATCTTCTTGTCGAAATGCCTTCAGTAGCACCTTTGTCGAATCACATTTTCCAATTGTTAGGAAATATTTCTAAGTCCATAAAATAGTTCCTCCTTGCAAAGAGACACCTTCACTCACACTCCAAAAATATAGTTTTGGTCAAAGTCATATGATTTCTTCAGAAACTTTATTACTTCCTTTTAATCCAATTCAGGCGTCAAAATTTAGAGCCAACAAATTGCCCCCCAAAAATGTCATTTTCGACATCACTGAAGAAAAAGGCATTTTTTGATAATGTCCTTCGAACGACTCTTGCATGACTTCGACATCTATCAATATTTCAGAAAACCTATGATGTCACGATCATTATAGCAGTTTCTGAAACGTCTTATCAATACACACTAGAATTTCTAGCCATCATCGCACTTTCTAGACTCTAGGAGATTATGGGACTAGGCATTAGTTGTCAACAACCCTGATGAAACACGTGTCCCACTAACCATCAGCTCTTTTAATGCTAATTTAAAGTCCCTTAAACTTCCACAAGCTTATAAATAGCTTCATACTTAGTCATTTTCACTTTTTACACTACTGAAGCATTTACTTCTCTCTTCACCTTTCAAATCTTCAAAGAAAATACCCAGATTTCTTCAACCTTCAACAATGGCGTCTTCAACCATGTCATACCCCAAATTTCCCCCCTATATTCCATTAGCATTCTAGGAGCATCAACATTGATTACCCAACCTTAACCTATTTTAAGTTTGTCTTTGTCAAGATGCAGATGAATTAAGGTTTCACACAATCAAGAAAATTAGGATTTCTATGGATTGATCAGTCAAGGTTTTGGATTGATCATCCATATAACAAGTCTCTATATCATCAAAGATATCACATGTGATCAAGAATGAGTCCAAGTTGAGGTTGTCACCAAAAGAATAGAAGCAGTGATGTGGAAGAACCCTAATCGGGGTTTCTTGTTGGAAAAGTCAACTATAGTTTGACTTTTGGTCTAGAAGGTTTTCCAATGAGGTAATTGTGGTCCATGAGGTTCATATGATCCAATGAAGTCTACTCAAGAATTTTTAAGGCCTCAGGGAACCCAGAACATCAACAGTCGATTCAAAGATTTTCAACTGTTCGGTTCGTCTATCAGAAAAGTCAACTCATTGACTAATAGAGTTTTTACCCAAATTCTAAGCCAATCTTGTTTCCAACATAATTTCACATCCAATTGTGAATTTTGGTGAAGATTAAATCAAGAATTTATAACTTGCAAATCAAGAAACAAGGGTAAAGTGAAAAAACCCTAATTTTGGTCAACTTCAAATGGTCATAACTTCCTAACCACACGTCCAAATGGAGTGGTTCAAAGATTGTTGGAAAGGTCTTAAGGAACCTAACAAAAGTTTCCTACTGACCTATAAGTAAAAAATGGATGGGTTTGGAGTTATGAATCCATCAAGTGGTGATGGATTTTGAACACTTGGAAATTTTGAGATTTCTTATCTTGTAAGTCAAGATTTCAGCATGTTCACAAGGGGTTTTGACCTAGTTTTAAGAAGAATGGGTTCCTAACTCAAACAGAAATGTTGTAGTACCTAATGATGGATTTCTAAAAAGTAAAAGTGGGTTCCATAACTCCTCATGGTTATAGAGAACCAAAACTCACAAGTTGGCAAAAACTCGCTGCTACAAAACCAACTCAGCATGGACATCTTGATTCCAAACCCTCCCAAATCAACTCTAATCAAGGATTAAGCCTCATTTCTAATCTACACATTGCTAATGGAAGTGTTTAGCACAATATCCCATGAGCTTGGCACAAGAAATGAAGGAAGTCATTGTTTAATGCAAGTTACAAGAATGAATAGTGAAGAAAGAGAAAAATGGTGGTTGCCCTTCCTCAAACCACTAGCTATGATGCAACCAGTCACTTCCCATCCCCTCAATAATGATTAAAATGACCTATAGGGCATGGATAAGCTCTTGTTATGGTGGCTTGAAGTCAGAAATGCAAGATTACATTGGTTCGAACAAAGATTTCAAAATGGCAAGGCCAAAATTGGCATTTGGTTCCAATCTGCCCATGCCTCTACTTCAAGACCTCTCCCTATAAATAGAACATAATTCTCACATCAAAATAATACCAGTTCATTTCTATAAACTAGATAGAACTTTCTCCCTTACTCAATCACCAAGTTTCTGCAAAGTTTCACCAAGTTTCCAAACAACTTCAAATTTTGCTTTGCATTTTCTCTTCTAAAACCATTTCCAAACATTCTCAAACTCAAACAAAGCTCCAAACACTATAAAAATCATGTGTTAGAGTTTTCCAAGCCCTCGCTTTAGCCAGAAAACAATCCAAGCCAAAATTAAACCTCCAAAACCTCATTTGTTGACTTTTATGCATTTTGAAGGGCAGCCTTCAAACCATTGCACTTCCTTGATCTTTAAGACCACTCACACCTCATATTTGACATATAAAAGTTTTCCATAATAAATCCACACTTCTGTAATAAGGATTGAGCAAGTTGGCTTTCAAAATCCTTGGATTTTTTGGTGTTTTCTTCATTATCAAGGCATTATGTCCACTAGCTTTCTTGGAGTCCAGTTGGAGCATCTTTTTATCTTCCTAGGAGTATTTGTAGACAATCAAAGACCTTGAGGGATCTC